ACTCACCTCAGCCTCCCAAAGGTGCGGGATTACAGGCTGAGCCACCAAGCCCGGCTAGAAGTATTCTTTTTATTAAATAAGAAGGAAAGAAACAAGAAACACATTAAGTGGTAAAGTAAGAAGGCAGAAATTAGTCTTAATAATAATTACAATAAATGTGAATGTACTAAAATATACCACTTAAAAGACAGGGATTCTAAGATTGGATTTTGTTAAAGATTTAAAAATAATATTGTTGACCGGGCTCGGTGGCTCAGCCTGTAATCCCAGCACTTTGGGAGGCCAAGGCAAGTGAATTGCCTGAGCCTGCGGGTTCAAGACCCGCCCAGGCAACTTGGTGAGACCTCGTCTCTACAATAAATCAGAAATTAGCTGGGTGTGGTAGCGTGCGCCTATAGTTCCAGCTACTTGGAAGGCTGAGGCAGAAGGATCGCTGGAGCCCAGCAGGTCGAGGCTGCAGTGACCGAGAGCATGCCACTGCACTCGAGTCTGGGTGACAAGAGTGAGACTCCAACTCAAATAATAATAATAATAATAATAATAATAATATTGTCTATCAGGGTCACACTTAAAAGCAGAAAACAAAAAATGACTAAGTTACTGTAAAAGGATGGGAAATAACATACCAAACAAATATGAACTGAAAAAGAACAGGAGTAGCAGTGTTAATACCTCATAAAATAGAATTCAAATAAACAAATCATCATAACAGATAAATAGGGATCTTATATGCTGATAAAAGAACAACAGAGCAAGAAGATGTACCCATTGTTAACACAACCTCAAAAATTATTTAACAACTTGATAGACTTCAGGGAAAATTAGGTAAATCTACAGTTGTAGTTGGAGATTTTAATACACCTCTCTCAGAAACAGAGTTTAAGTGGATGACTCATAAATAGATATATCCAAGACTTAACCATAAGCCATTAGAAATATTTTTTACTACTTAGGAGGCTGAGGCAGGAGGATCACTTGAGCCAGGAGTTCAAGACCAGCCTGGGCAATATATAAAGAGAAATATTTTTTAAAACCTACTCTAAGACTGGGCGCAGTGGCTCACACCTATAATCCTAGCACTTTGGGAGGCTGAGGTGAGAGGATTGCCTGAGCCCACGGGTTCCAGACCAGCCTGGGCAACTTGACGAGACCTCATCTTTACAATAAATCAAAAAATTAGCTAGGTGTGGTGGTGCATGCCTGTAATTCCAGCTACTTGAAAGGCTGAGGTGGGAGGATCACCTGAGCTCAGCCGGTCAAGACTGCGGTGGCTGTGAGTGTGTCACTGCACTCCAGTCTGGGCAACAGAGTGAGACTCTCCAACTCAAAAAAAAAAAAAAAAAAAAAAAAAGAAAAAAGCCTACTCTAAATAGTATGTACATTCTTGTTTAATATAATTGAAGCAGTTTTTTAAAGTGTTAGAATGGTAGGGAAGATTCCATAAATTAGAAAAAATTTTAATTTAAAATATTTTTCAATTACAATGTAATAAAATTAGAAATTAGTAATGAAAGTATAACTTAAACATCCTTTATATCTGGAAAATAAATAGCATTTTTATAAAGAATCCTAGGTTAAAAAAGAAATCACAAAATACTTAGAACTGAATAACACAAAAAACATTATAAGTGAAAATTTATAGCCTGCAGCTAAAACTAGCTAGAAGAGATTTTAGCTTATATATATTTATCAAGAAAGAAGAAAATTTAAAAACAAATACACTAAGCATTCAACTAAAAAATTAGGGGAAAAAACAAAGGAAAATTAAAAGAAACAGGAATGATGTAAACAATAAAAATAAGGGGAAAACAATAATATTCACAAAATCATATATTTATTCTATTAGAAAACTGGCAGTACCAATTTCAAAAGGCAGAGAGAAATATAAAGATAAAACGGTAGAAAACCAAGAAAAATAGAGGTATAAAAGATGTTTTTAAAAAGTGTTGTGGACAATTGACCGGTAATGGTTGCACAACTCTGTAAATACACTAAAAACCATTGAATTGTACACTTTAATTGGGTGAGTTGTGTGGTATGTGGATCATATCTCAGTAAAGCTACTACCAAAAATTAAGTATGGACAGCTACCTGGTAATAACTTTGAAAATTTATATTAAATGTATCTTAGAAAAATATATGATGCAAAAAAAAGGTACAGTGGTAATACCATATATAACAATTTCTTCTGTCTTTATATCATTTTCAATTACAATGTAATAAAATTAGAAATTAGTAATGAATGTATAACTAAAACATCCTTTCTGACTGGAAAATAAATAGCATTTTTATAAAGAATCCTGGATTAAAAAAGAAATCACAAAATACTTAGAACTGAATAACACAAGAAAACATTATAAGTGGAAATTTATAGGATACAATTTCTTCTGTCTTTATATCATTAGCTAAGGCCTGTGTACCTTTTTTTTTTTTTTTTTTTTTTGAGTTGGTGCCTCATTATGTCACCCAGGCTGGAGTGCAGTGGCAATATTATGGCTCACCGCAGCCTCAACCTCCTAGACTCAGATGATCCTCCTGTCTTACCTCCTGAGTAACCAGGACTACAGGCACATGCCACAACATCTGGCTAATTTTTTAAAGTTTTGTAGAGACAAGGTCTTGCTATGTTGCCCAGGATGGTCTCAAATTCTTGGGCTCAAGCGATCCTCCCATCCCAAAATGCTGGGATTATAGACATGAGCCACTTCACATGGACCTATATACTTTCTTACACAGTAAATTTATCTAAAGTATTTCCATAAAGTATTAACTTACTCTAGAATTTTTATATAAAACTTTTACCTAGTTAAGAAAAGTTAAAGAAATTTTAAGGTAAGGAAGTTCCTTTCCTAAGAGTACGATATGCTTCCTGAGAGTATTATATACTTCCTAAGAGTATTGTAATACTCTTGCTAAGAGTATTGTTAATTCTAAGTAAAATGTACACTTAATCAAATACTTTATGTGTCAGTGTTGAGATAAGCAATATACATTTTCTCCTTTAGCTTATAATTATAATGATTTATATGAATACATTTCTTTCTCTTGGATTATTAGAACCAGTATGAGAGTTTGAGAGATTTTTGGATACAATACAAATATACAAAAATCACTAATATTTATTTTCACTAGAAAAAAGTAACATAAAAAAATAGTTTAAAATAATATATCATGCACAATGGTGACAAAAGCTATAAGTACTTAAGAATTAACTAAAAATACACAACAGATTTATGGAAAAATTTAAGTTCTATTAGAGGAAATAGATGATGATGTGAATATTTGGAAAGACATTCTCTCTTGAATGAAACAATTTAATGTAATAAAAATATCTATTCTCCCCAAATTAAACAGTATAAATCCATAAAGTTCAGCAATCTCAGGTTAAATATAAAAGATTTTTTAAAAGTCTAACTGAAATCCCAAACAGAATTCCAGTTAGACTTTTAAAAAATCTTTTATATTTAACCTGAGATTGATATGGAAAAATAAAGGTCTACAAATAGCTAAAAGACATTTTAAATATAAGGAGCTACTAGTGAGAACTTGCCCTATCAGAAATGGAGACAAACTATAAAACTGTAGTAATTAAAAAAAAAAAAAAAAGACATGGTGCACAAGAATAGAGCCAGTGGAACAGAGACTATGACTTGGAGAGCAGTGGTCACCGTCCATACCTGTCATATCTCTGTGACATTCACCATTCCAAGGTACTCCAGGTACAGCTTCTAACTGCAAGCATGCATGACTCTGCCTGCCCTGTATGTGCTTGGGGCCGACCAAAAATGCCTGGGAATAAATGCCCCCACCACTGAGAGCAACACCCAGTTGGTGACCAAAGGGAATAGGTGGATTAATACCCTAGCTGCCTTGCCCTTAAAGAAATAAATACAAATGGCAAATTATAGAGTTAGTACAAAATAAGGTAGGACAATATTTTTGTGAGCTAGGAACAGAGAAAGACTTAAATAAAACTTCAAACATAAATCATAAGGTGCAGTGGCTCACGCCTATAATTCCAGCACTTTGGGATGCCAAAGTGGAAGGACTGCTTGAGCAAAGGAGTTCAAGACCTACCTGGGTAACATAGTGAAACCTCATCTCTACAAATAATCAAAAACTTACACAGCTATCTAGACACTGGAAACACATATTTTTCCAACCATATATAGAGGTTTAACCATTTTCAAATAGATTCACCAATAGACTCTATACAGAGTTCTCAAAAACAGTCAGTGGCACTCAAAACCATTAGAGCCATGAGCTGAGTAAAATGAATAATTGCGTACCCAGATGAAAAATGGGTAAACAGTGGTGGCTGTGCCCTTCAAATACACGAGAAGAAAGGCTGAAAGGTTTTTCAGTTATCTCCTAATTTTATTAACTGCATTTTTCTTTATTCTTATTCAAATGATGTTGGTGCCCTGAGATTCAACCGTTCTCTGTTGTTGGTCATGGGCCACTTCACAAAGGTGGGCAGCCTGGTCTGTGTGGGTGGACAACTTTCCCCCAGAGTGTGTAATGTCTTCAGATGCTTACACATCACAGAAGCTTCAGGAGGAACTGCTTTCGTCTGCCCTGCTCAAGCATAGAACATAACACTTGGAAGTGATATATTAAGCATTGCTCAAAAGGCAGAGCTAAAAGGCTGACCTTTTGGCTATCCCCTCACAAGTGATTTCTGTTTTTATTTTTCTCACAAGTTTAATTCAACTTAATTAAAGAATTTTTGTTGAACATTTATTCTGGGCAAGCTAGATATGACATGGCTCCTGCCCTCACTCTGTGTGTGTGTGTGTGTGTGTGTGTGTGTGTGTGTGTGTGTGTGTGTGTGTGTGTGTGTCTCCGTGATTCTGGGTTTCCATGGTATGAAAGAGTGACCAGGTGGGTGGGCACAAGGAATGAGGGGAACAAAACAATTCCCCGAATACTTGTTATATACAGAGAAGATGACAAGTTCTGTGAGGATAAAAAGGAGGGAGGGACATATACGTTTTTCTGTATTATCTTATACCTTTGTTATTCTCTAAATTAGAGTATCATATACTGTGGGACATGTTCAATTTGGAAGCAATAAGGAACTTGAGAAATTATGACTGAAAACTATAATAATCCTCCCTTTCAGTTTGGTGTGAGGATACAAATTAAATTAAACTGATCAACAAAGAATTATGGGACTGAAACGGGCCTCTGAGATACAATAAACAGGACCTAAATCATTCCACGCTGACAGGAATCAGTACCTTTTTTTCCAATTCTATTTTCAAAGACCAACATAGAAATTGTCATAAACAATTCTAGACATCCAACTTAGTGCTTAACTTCTCAGTATAGGTTTTTTTATGATTAATATAAATCTCTCATTCTACAATCTAAAGTCTCAAGTTTTCTTTTTAAAAGGCTGAGAATAGTTGCTGACTGTAGTTCAATAAACCATTATAAAAATAACTCTTTTCTAACACTGGTTCTTTGGTAGAGAACTAGTGGACTGCCTATGAAATATTGTTTTTTTCTGTGTGTAGAAAAAAGGTCGGGCGCAGTGACTCAGCCTGTAATCCCAGCATTTGGGAGGCTGAGGTGAGAGGATTGCGTGAGCCTGGGGATTTGAGACCAGCCTGGGCAACTTGGTTGTTTTCCATTGCAATTATAATGTGAATTTAGGTAACCTTAGATTTGTGTGTCATAAAGGGACTCATGGTATCTGAGGCTCCTTAATTTCAAGGCCATACTTCGGTCCACGCTTACTCCTTGGGCTGGATCACACCCCATGTTCTTTCCTCTTGGATGATCTCTCTCAACCATCTAGGGACATATATAGCTCTGTGGCTGGGGTAAATCGTGGGGAAATCCCTATTCCAGAACTTTGTTTAAAAGTTTTAGAGGCTGGCCAGGCTTGGTGGCTCAACCTATAATCTCAGCACTTTGGGAGGACAAGGTGAATGGATTGCCTGAGCCCACGGGTTTGAGACCAGCCCCGGCAACTTGGCGAGACCTTGTCTCTACAATAAATTTTTAAAAATTGCCAGGTGTGGTAGCATGCACCTGTAGTTCTGGCTACTTGGAAGGCTGGGGTGGAAGGATCTCTGGAGCTCAACAGGTCGATGCTGGAGTGGCTGTGAGTGTGCCACTGCACTCCTGCCTGGGTAACAGAGTGAGACTACAAATTTAAAAAAATGTTTTAGAGACTCCTCTGTTCCAAATTCAGAGTCCTGAGTTGTCAGGAAACTTTGATTAATGTTACACAGGTGACTTTGTAAAACCTGCTCTTTGTTTTCTGCTGTCTTCTGTCTATTTCCAGGCTATAACTAACATTTTTGTTTCTACAGGTCAATTATGCTTGTTCCTCTTTTCTGTCCATTGATCCGCAGCCTCAGGTAATTCCAGCTGGTGGTGTTTTATAATAATGTAGGCATTTGTGTAGTGCTGAAATTCCCCATTTCTCCCTTTTGACTTTTATGTGCTCATGAAGACATGTCAATATATTAGATATTATTACATCATCTATTACATCATCTGAAGGTAACAATTAATACTATAAATTTGTGTTGTAAAGTGCTGGGGCTTTCATCTCTAAATAAAATGGATTTGAAAATAACATACACATATGTTGGAAATTATGGAATGTCAAATTAAAATGCTAATTTTAAAATAAAATTCTGTGTTAAATGAAGAAGACTGTATCCATTGCTGTCTTTGAAGGCTAACATCCTGTCTCCTGAGTTTGAAACCCATAGATATATGGACTTATGAGTCAGACTTATGGAGATCAAAGTATCATCATTTTAACTGAAAAGTCAATTTGTGAATGTGACTTTAAATCTGATGTCAAGTGTGTTTGCTAAAATTGCTCCAAGAATTAAACTTGCCTGCCAGTCTCAGGCAATAACTCTGGGTGTCCCGCCAGTCTGTCTCAGCCTCCTGGCAGAGACCAACTTCCCACAGGAAAGAGCTGAAATGAGCATACCCAGTGTCCTTCTCCGGCAAGTGGCTCACTTCTCCTCCAAAAAGGAGTTCAGGGAGGGTTTGGAAAGGCTGGAGTGCTAGTCCAGCTCCTCTGCATGGAAGCACAAGTAGGCAATATGTCTGTTCTTCCTTTTTTTTTTTTTTTGAGTGGGAGTCTCACTCTGTCACCCAGGCTGGAGTACAGTGGCCCGCTCACAGCCACCGTAGCCTCGACCTGCTGGGCTCAGATGATCCTTCCGCCTCAGCCTTCCAAGTAGCTAGAAACTACAGATGCACGCCACCATGCCCAGCTAGTTTTTGTGACTTATTGTAGAGATGAGAGTTCACCAAGTTGCCCAGGCTGGTCTTGAACACCCGGGCTCAGGCAGTCCTCTCACCTCGGCCTCCCAAAGTGCTGGGATTACAGACCGAGCAACTGCGCCTGGCTTATTCTTCTTACATTATCTTGACTGGACCATGCCGCTTCTGCCTACAGCCCCATGTCTATGCAGGAAGAGCAGATTTATTCTTCCTATCTTGACTTTCTTCATCCGTATACTGAATCTTAATGCAACTTTTTTACCTTATAAACTTTTAAATTTTTTTATACTTTTTAACTCTTTTGTAGTAACACTTAGCTTAAAGCACAAGTATATTGTACAACTGTGCAATATTTTTTTCTTTATATCCTTATTCTGTGAGCTTTTTCTATTTTTAAATGTTTTATTTTTATTGTTTTACTTTTTAAAAGCTTTTTTGTTAAAAACTAAGATCAGACACATGCATTATCCTATGCCTACATGAGGTCAGATCATGTCGCTAGGTGACAGGAATTTTTCAGCTCCATTATAAACTCACAAGACTCGCTGGGCTTGGTGGCTCAGCCTGTAATCCTGCGCCTTTGGGAGGCTGAGGTGAGTGGATTGCCTGAGCCCGCGGGTTCGAGACCCGCCTGGGCAGTGAGACCTCATCTCTACCATAAATCAAAAAATTAGCCAGGCATGGTAGCGCGCACCTGTAGTTCCAGCTACTCGGAAGGATGGCCGGAGCCCAGCAGGTCGAGGCTGTGGTGGCCGGGAGCGGCCACTCCACTCCAGTCTGGGCGACGGAGTGAGACTCCAACTCAAATAAATAAATAAATAAATAAATAAACTCACGAGACTACCATCATAGATACAATCTGTCGTTAACTGAAATACCATAATGTGTTGTGTGACTGTATGTGAAAAGTTTTTGTAATTTATTGAAGCACCATATAAATAAGAGACATTATTAATAAATATCTCTACAATGCATGGTAAGCAAACAAATAGAATGCAGAGAACAAAGCAGCGCTCTGATGCTTAGAAGGACACACAGAGAAACCATGATTTCACCGTATCCCTGACCACAGTCACCTGTGTTGGGCATGTACCGTGCTGTTCAGAGGGTGAGAATTTGGTGGCCCTGAACAATTATTTTCTTACGTCTTCTAAATTAAGAGTAACTGCAACTGTAAATGAAACCTAAGAACTTACCTACATTCAATTTTTCCAAGAACTCCCTGTAGAGATATCATCCCTGTTTTATGACTGAAGAAACAAGTTAAGAGAGGTTAGGTTACCAGCCCAAGGTAACATAGCTAATAAAGAGATGGAATTGGTACTGCTGTAGTTACAGGCCGCTCAGTCTGTGCTTTTAGCCACTGATTACATTGCCCCCCTCCGCTGTTCTAGCTCTTTATTACTTCCAAAGTGCATGTATTAATAACAGGTTGTTTTGGCACAGCTGTGCCAAGCTCTGTGCAAAGCAGTCTGGGCCCCTGCTTGTCTATTTGCACTGTTCCTGCCACACCCAGCCAGTTGTTCAGCACCAGAGCCCTGCCCTCCTGTGTGCTCTGAAAAACCTGATCCTAGGTGTACAGTCAGCAACTGGAAGGACGGTTCTCAGATTAGGTGCACCATGCATGACTTCTTCTCTTCCCGTTCCCATTGTTTGCAAGCAATCGCAGGGTTTTCAAATTAGCCAATAATGAGTAATATTCAGTGAGGCTTACAGCTTTGGCATGTAGATGCAGATTTTGTTACAGACTGGAGAGACTAATCCCTCTTTTGGCAATGCCTCTGGTTACTCTCAGTCATAGAATTCCATACCATCTTAGCAAGTGCTGAGAACTGCATAACTAGACCACAGTGGAATCCTTCATTCGTGCATATATACAGTATATAACTTTTGTCTTTGTTGGAAGGAAAGTTTTACTTTTAGTGGCCAAGTTTTTGTTGTGAAAGAAACTAAGGGATTCCAATGATGTTTTAAAGGTCTACAAGAAGGATTATTTTCTAGGTAGCTGGCATTTTCTTGTGTTCCTAACATTTTACAGTTATCTCTCCTATGCAAATATTGTTAAAGCAAAAGAATAGCTTTTCTATCTTCTCATTTCCATTAGGCATCCAATGCGCTGCAGGAGCTCTGCTTTGTGATTATGGGGATTCTACCAAAGCCTCAGGTAAAGTTGAAACAGTGTTTTGTTTGTAGGCAAAAATTACTCAAACATTTCTTGGAATTTCTCCTGGAACAAAATATGCCCAATTTAAGAAGCATGCCAAGAGGCGCTAGAAGAGGATGAGCTGATTTTGGATAAGAAACAAACACTTCAGTTTCTCTGATGTCTGAGAATTTAGGGTCATATTGTTGGAGTTTACAGTAATCTAATTAGGAAATTATATGTCCCCTTAAATATAAAATGTGTTTCAGTCTGATGGGAGAAATTTGGGGTCACCTCAGCTCTTTTTATGTCCTGACTCACACTGCATTGGGGAACAGATGTATCTTTCTAAGCTGCTAAGCATATCTTGTGATCAGAGGTTAGGACATGGTGCTTTGTTAAAGAGTAGGACATTAAAAATGCATAAAAAACAAATTGTATTGTCAATGCCAGTTTGAAAATTATATTATTTTGTGTCTTGGTTTCTTTTTCTTTTTTTTCTTTTTGAGTTGGAGAGCACTCTGTTGCCCAGACTGGAGAGCAGTGGCATGCTCACCGTCACTGCAGCCTCGATCTGCTAGGCTCAGACAATCCTTCCGCCTCAACCTTCCAAGTTGCTGGAACTACAGGCACGTGCCTCCATGCCTGGCTAATTTTTTGATTTATTGTAGAGATTCGGTCTCACCAAGTTGCCCGGGCTGGTCTCGAACCCATGGGCTCAGGCAATCCTCTCACCCGGTCTCCCAAAGTGCTGGAATTATCGGCGTAAGCCACTGTGCCCTGCCTCATGTGTCTTGGTTTCTTATGAAAATTATTTTATTCTTCTGGGAGAACATTTTATCCTGAAGTGAGGAAAGATGGGAACTTGAAAAATCACATAAACACTATACCTTATTTTATGTTTTGTGTCTTATGAATGAACTTATTTTAAAATTACCCTATTAAAGGTAAGAGCCTCAGATTTAGAATTATATTTTTCCTTTGCAGTGTATACCATTGGTATACATGTGATAATTCAAACAAACAACCTTGATGGTTTGAAATCATAAACATTTTCTGAAACTAAATAACCTATATTTATCAGCTGTATATTTACCCATTGTGTTTAATGGTGACATTTTCCAAAAAATGTAGTTGACATTTTTTCTAATTAAAATAAAAGAAATGACAATGATGTTTAGCTGTAATCGTCTTTTTGTATTAAAAGTAAATGAGAACAAGAAAGAACAACAAGGAAAGATATGATTTTTTAAAATTAAAACAAATATTTTTAGGCCTGGTGTGGTGGTTCACACCTGTATGCCCCATACTTTGGGAAACTGAGGCAGGAGAATTGCTTGAAGCCAGGTGTTTGAGACCAGCCTGGGAAACACAATGAGACCCCATCTCTTCAAAAATAAAAATTTTTAAAAAATTTTAATATAGATTTTTGGAGGGAGAGAAGAATATAGAAGTTTATGGAAGAAAGCAGAAATAATTCATACACTTATTATTTAGCAACAACCACTACAATTTTTTTTTTTTTTTGAGTCAGAGTCTCACTCTATTGCCCAGGCTGCAGTGCAGTGGCATGCTCAACGGCCACCACAGCCTCAACCTGCTGGGCTCACACAATCCTTCCACCTCAGCCTTCCAAGTAGCTGGAACTATAGGCATGTGCTACCATGCCCGGCTTTATTTATTTATTTATTATTTATTGTAGTGACAGGGTCTCACCAAGTTACCCAGGCTGGTCTCGAATCCCTGAGCTCAGGCAATCCTCTCACCTCAGCCTCCTAAAGTGCTGGAATTGTAGACTTGAGCCACCGCACCCGGCCTCCTACAAATATTTTGATGTGATTCTTTTAGTCTTTTCTTCTGAATATTCCCTCATGTGATTAGATCATAATTTCCTATTTCACCATTGTTGAATATTTAGGATGTTTTCAAATTTTTACATTTATGAATAATGTTGCAGTAAAGATCTTTGTTCACATCTTTATTTATAAATAGTAATTAATATCCTGTTTATTTCTAGAGCAGCAGATGCTTAACCAATTTCGGTCTTGTATTTTACATATGACATTACTCTCTTGTGTTTTACAAAATTATATTATATAATTTTATAACACAAAATCATGTACATATTATATAGCAAAATTTTATGTTATATAACTATGTGTATATCTCTTTTCAACAGGAACAAGATGAAAAAGATAATACCAAAAGGGTAAGAAGATTTTCAAAAATACATACATTAAAAAATAATAAAAGAAATCATTAATTTTTTGTAGTAAAACTTACCACTTTTTTAAAAACAGTTCTTATTTCATTATTCGAAGACACAGAAGCTGGGCAACTCAAATGTCATGGTGAGTTATAGAACTACTTCTCAGTAATCATGAGTGTCTGTTTTAAAGAAAACACTGAAGCCAGGCTCGGTGGCTCAGCCTGTAATCCCGCGCCTTTGGGAGGCTGAGGTGAGTGGATTGCCTGAGCCCGCGGGTTCGAGACCCGCCTGGGCAGCGAGACCTCATCTCT